GACAGATGTACTCTTAAGTTAAACTGAGCATGACTCGCTGCCGACGGTTGCCTGCGGACTGTTTTCAAGGACTAAGTATGACTCACCGCCGACGATCGTCCGTTTGACGAAGTATACTGGGCTACATATAACGTACTGGTGACTTCCGCCTACAGACTAAGTATGATGGGCAAAGCATAAATCTCCACCGACGGTCGTCTGCAGCTACTATGCTGGACTATGTCCAACTGCCCTCCGACGGCTGCGTGCCTATTATAGTCCGTTGCTACCTAAGAACGAAGGGCGAGGGTAAGACGGGCCGGGGAGGAGAAAGCAGACCGAACGCTAAAGAGAGAAGGAGGTTTTCCCCTCTCTTCTCCAGCGTTCAGTCTGCTCCCTCCTCTCCGGCCCGTCTTACCCTCGCCCTTCGTTCTTAGATTGCAACGGACTATAAGTACGCTGGACTAGGTTGAGTGGCCACCAATGATTGGCCACTCACTTAGTCCAGAATACTTTGGAGTGGCCACCAAAGTATTCTGGACTAAGTATAACTTGCCAGCGACAGTCACCTCTCGGTGGCTGTCGCTGCCGATGGTCCCCTGTGAACGAAGTATTCTGGATTAAGTACCCTGAGCCAAGTGTGAATCACCGTCAACTGTCGCTTGCGGGTTAAGCATGCTTGATTAGGTAAGACTTGCAGCCGGAATTCATCTGTGGACGAAGTATTTAGTACTTAGTGTGACTCGCCGGCGACTGCCTGGCAACCAAATATGCTGGACGAAGTATAATTCGCCAGCGACCTTATACTGTGGCATAAGTATGGTGGACAAGCTGTGATTGTGCTGACGGTTGAATGCGGACTAAGTATGTTTGCTAGGTATGATTCCCCTATTCCAGCATGAAAAACCAACTTGTCAAGCTGGTAACTAAGCTGGTCAAACTGGCCAATGTGGTAGTCAAACTGGTTTAACCGGCAATCAGGCTAGTTTAGGTTGGGCAAGCGGGAATTTGAGCTGGTCAGTCTGGTTCAAGGTGTAAGATAGAAAGGTGGGGAAACGGCCCATAGAAGCCTACCGCAGCACCGTGACCGGATTGTGTACTCGTCTGCTTGCGGGTACCCCTGATTTGCGACAGATGGTGCTGCGGCAAGAGGGAAAAAATTGGAATCGGATATGCGTTGAACTTAAGGGAGAGTGCGCAAAATAATCCGAGAGCCCTACAGTCTTTCATCGAAAATCCACGAGAAACCATCTCCGTCAGTTTAGCCGGTCGCCACCGGGCGCCCACCCGGAGTGAGAGTTTGCGGTGCTCCACATAGATGGCGCCACAGAAAAAGAGAAAACCGAGGGGTACATAATCCGGTCGTTCAGTTGGCTCTCGTTTTCCCACCTGTCTATCTTACACCCCGGTCTGGTTTCAGTAAAAACACGAATGGTCTAACCAAAATCTGGTTTTAGATTCAATGTCGTGTAGCTGGGAGCCAGTCTGGTCCTAACTAGTCAAACTGGTTTTCCATGAAGCCAACGTGGTCAAGCTGGAAGACAAGCTGGCCAAGCTGGGAGACAAGGTGGTGAAGCTGGTTGAACTTATAACCGTGGTAGTCAAGCTGGTCTTACTGGGAGCGCGCAGGCAAAGGTCGGCTAGCGGCGGTCGAACTGGCATTGCTGGGAGCGCGCGCACCAAGGTTGGGTTGGGCTCTGACGAGGCCATGTCCTGTTCTTTGTCCTCTCGTTTTTGGTAGACGACCGGGCGCTTCAGGCGCGCTGCAAGCTTTATTTGTGTGCGAGAAAAGAGAGTGAGACTGGTAGGAGCGGAGAATTTGAGACACCTCTGGCTACCTTGGGCAGGTTTTCGATGGGATGGCTATGTGCGTGTTGTTTGCAGACTACTTGAACGACGGTGCAAGCGAAGCGGGTTTTCAAGAGACAGGGAGCGGCAGTCCGTTCAGTGCGGTAAGAGGTTAGACGTCCCGACTGAGGCGTCGCTTCGTGTCTTCGAACGTGTGTGTGCTCGTGAATGACGGTGGAGCTGAGAAGTATCGCCAATGCCATCCGGGCCACACAGATTTCCTCGCCTTTGCCAACCATGCAAGCGGCCGCTTCGCCCTGATTACTGGCGGGACCCACGGTTCGCTCCTCTCATATCTGTAGTATTTTCTATTGCTATTGGGTGTTTTTGCTGTGTGTCTGCTATTTTTCGTGTTGAGAGATAATCAATCTGGTTTTAATAACATTGTTTTGCACCGAAAACCACTGTCGGCGCGTCTGTTAGTACTGTGTCAGCACCAAAGATTAGTAGCATCTGAGATCTTGTGGGCAGGCCGCAGTACGAACATAATAAATTAGATGCCGAGTTGGACCTGGGCTTGTTTATCCTGTGTATTCACTTAAATAGGTCAAACTAGTCGGGACGTCCACCAGCATGACCAGTTTAACCAGCATGATCACCATGTCAAACTAGGCAAGCTGTGCAATAACCCTGCTTGAAGCTGGGAGCAGATCCACCAGCATCACCAGCATGACAACCTGGGCATGCTGGGTCAATAATCCAGCTTGAAGCTGAAACCAGCTTAACCTGTTTTTTTTAATACCTCGCATATCGCCTTTGGATGAAGCATGCATAACCAATTATGCTTAACTAAGCATCGCCCGCCGCAGACATTCACGTGCTACCGCAGAGGAGGGTCGGCGGCAAGTTATACAGTTCGTTGGCTTGTGCTTCTGTTCATCTCCTACTTGTAGCGCCGAAATAAAGAAAAAAATTACTTGTAGTGCCGAGCAAAGATGTCGAATTGCAGGTCGCATGGTCCGGGTTCAATTCCCGCTTAGATTTATTGTGAATCACTCTAGTTTGAATCTGTGGTCGCTAATATCTACGGCATTGTATGGCTAATTATACATTTTATATGTTTTGCATGCTTATGCATAGCCTGTTACAAGCTATATATCCGTCATTTTACCTTGGCCTGCGTGTAACGCTTCTTCGTCACACTCGAGCGTTATACTTTTTCATGAAATCTAGCCATAAACATATTCTGTGTTAAAAAAGAGTATGCAGTATTGTTCATTCGATCAAACGCGACGCAATGCCGCAACTTTACAGGGCGATTATTAGCGAAAACAATTAGGAGAGAAAATTGTACGGTGACGAAATCGTGGTTGTTATATGCCGTACACACACTGAGGACGATGTCAAGGTTTTCCAGGGCGACCTCAAGGAAGACCTCGAGGACGACGTTAAGGACAACCTCTGGGACAACCTCAAGGACGACCTCAAGGATGACGTCGAGGACGTCAGGTCACGTCAGCTTCAGCTACCGGCGCTTACGAGCTTACCCGACCGGCGGGTACGCGATCGCCGCTTAGGCGACCGGAGCTTATTCTTCAGCCACCATCGCTTCAGCCACGAGTACTTCAGCCACACGCGTTAGGTGACCTTGAGACTTGTTGAGAATAAAAGTCTACCGCCTTCAAAAAATGTATGTTTTACGAATGTCCAGCTGCCAGCTACTTAGTATACTATTAAACTGATTTAAAACCGAAGCTACGGAACGAGGTTTTACGCACAGCATTAATACGAGTGGACCTTTTTAAAAGTAATATTCTGCGCATGCGTACCTTCTACTCCTTTCTCCCCCCCCTCCCTGACTTTGCTTCCCGCTGTCACCATTTGCGCAGGGTAGAGTTCCGGTCGACCAGCATATTCCGCAACTATTTTTACCTCATTTTGTATTTTTTGACTATTTTTTTTATAGTATATGCTAACATGAGGCACGAGCGGCAAACCAACATCAAGACAACGGCATAATGCCAATGTATTTTGACGAGCAGAGAAAAGTTGGGCATCCCTTCATTTGTGGTTTAACCACAATTCCGCAGACGGCGCTCGTTACTGGGAGGAGTTTCATTGTAACATTAAATTATGCATCACTGTATTTTTTTCTTCAATGTTATACTAAATAACACAAAAGCGTGGCATTATTTTTATTTTTTCCATTTGCTTAAATTTGATTGTTCTAGCTGCACAAAATAATTTAGCTACGTATTGTAGATGCGGTGTAGGCGTTTGAAGTAGCGAGTTGGGTTGTGGTAAGCACAGTGTACCCGGAGAAACAGAGTCGCGTCAATGTTAACAACCTTGATGTTAATTTTAGCAGTGATTAAATAATCATGCCAGTAAATATCATGCTAAAAGGTTCAATTTGGTCAAGCATTGGTTTAATATCTTTGTCGCCGACCTCTCAGTTAACAGTAATGCTAATAGATCAGATTCATACTGTACACCTATTTATTATATACACGAGGCTGCCGCCTTGTCTCTTGAACTTTTCTGTTTGTATATTATGTAAACGATTTATTGCTCGGGGGCTTAATATTTCGCGGTTTAGGCCAAAGCTGAAGTTTTGGAATCATTCGCGAGTTCTAATTTTCGCGACGGGGTGGGATCTCAGTGTTAACTCCAACGAGTTTACATTTTACCGCAATTGTTCGCGGGACCTATTTTTCGCGAATTGTAGATGATTCGCGAAAATCGCGAAAATTGAGTCCTCGCGAAAATTAAGTCGTTTACAGTATTCATTTCCTCTTATTCGCTTGGCATATATATACTATAACATATCCAATATAAATGAGAGACATCCATGTAAGCTCTACTATAGTGATTCTGCCAATAAGGATGTTCTTGGTTTTATTGCAAGTTCCTGTATCTCAAAGTAAATTTATCCACATCCCCGATCAATAACCAGTAACATGACAACAATATGGACTTTGTGTCAGATATTTCAGAAACTAGCTTGTGCCTGCACGCCGTCCCAAGTAATAGTCCGCATTTTCCGTAGCCCGCATTTTGTTAGCATTTAAGCAGACGGAGCCTGTCACTGACAGGCCTTTGTCGCATACTCCAGAAAACTCTTTTTCATTGATGGGCATGATTTTCATATTATTTTTCAATTTTTGTCCTTCTTTCTGATTTCTTTACGACAATTTATACCTGGAACAAAGTGAGGCGAGAAAATCATTTACCATAAACTCTGCCCCAGCCCACACCATAGATGCTGGCATTTGAAGGCGGTTCTTCGCAGTGTTCAGGAAGGCAGATTGGCCGAATATACTTTGTAATATTGACCGGTTCTTTTAATTTCAATAGTGCAATATCCTTCTGTAAGATAAATACGGTAGTTTAAACAAAAACAGTTTCAAAGCTGGTGCTTTTCTTTTTTGTTAACAAGAATACGCACCATAAAAAGTGTACAGTTGTCCTGAAGGGGTACACAGACGTAATCCACTTCCCTGCAAATGACCTGATCTTCCAGATCCTCGTGGATGACTGTTGTGTCACTTCTTTCCAGATGGACGTTTTTGTCTTTGTTTTGTTGACAGTGTATAGTAAAATTAGTTCGTTTCGTACTTCCCAGACGAACTGAAAGAAAGCCTTCAGTGTTCTTGTCTCTTGAAGCATTAATGGGATAAAGGGGGAAGTGACGAAAATGTGTTTTGATGTTGAATGACTTAAGTCTACGTCAAACCATGAAACGCCTCCACCACTTCAAATGTTATGTATAGAAAAAGTGGTCACTGACGGCGACGTCTCTTTTAGTCCTGGCAACTACGAACTAACAGAAACATTATTGTATTCGTATACCGAGCGTTCCATTTAGGACGGAGACCAAAACTGCTGACGTACTTTGATCAGAACTAAACTCCTCAGACTTTTTTTTTAGTGGGGGAGGGGGGGGGGGGGGTCAGGTATAATCAATAAAGATTGATACAGCCAATTCCAATGAAAACTTCTTTGCAAAACGCCAATGAAAGTCACTGTCACATCATATTATCAACTGTTATTGCTATTAGTATTTAGAGTTTTACTGAAAACAAGCCGTAAAAACCACACTAATGCGGTCAGTTCACGTGAGGAATACGACCAGGATGACATATATAGGAGGCTAATCGTCACGAGATGTCAAAATACAAATTTATATACAATTCGTGAATTAACCTATTAATTAGTAAAAATAAGCTTCATTTCAATTATAAACTTGCAGAGCGTCATCGAAAATCATTTGTTTATTAAATTTTAAAAGGATTTGGAGCTCGTGGGAAGCGCGGTGGTGAACTAGGTGCGCGACGGTGTTAATGTTAATATATGTATCCGTTTTTTTTTTTTTTTCGCTTTACTATTCGCGACTCGAACTAAACGAAGTTTTAAACAGAACTAAACACCGTTCCATATTGGAATCTTCACAGTGACTTTCTCGAGCAAATTAATTTTTCTGCAACGGGATTGTTGGTCGCGTGGTGCTGAAAAGAAAACTTTGCTTCGTAAGGGCCTGAAAGCACGTGCTTTGAGTCGCTTATTGCGTTGCGCCTGTTGTGTGAGCTGTAGCGCACCGCCGCCTTTCTCACGCGCTCTAAATCTTGGTCAAATTTACTGACTGTTGCTTTCTATGACACTCAGCATGCTTGTGATTGTAAGCATGTGTTCCTTTTCAAAGATTACCAGTTTATTTGTCATATTTTAGTTAATTATTAATTTTAATGTAAGGATTAGCCCCCTACATTATGTTCCCCTGGTCGCTTAACTCACCAGCATACAGCAAATCACTCTAGCTTTCAGCGCTTTTCTAAAACAAATAGTTCAACCTCCCCCCCCTCCCCCCCCCCCCCCCCCCCCCCCCCGCCTTTGCCCTCCCTCGAAAACGCTTTTTGCTTCTAACATTTGCGTCTGAAATATTCGCCTGGCTTTGACGCTTATTTTCGCGTCTTACGTTTTTACCTTGTGGCCCTCGCAAAAAACGTATTCTACTTCAAATGTGCACAAAAATATGATTTGTTAACGTTATTCACAGCTGTAGTGATTTTCACGCATATGTTCAGCTCCCAGCTTTTGAAATGTGGCTTCCTCTAGGTCCGTGTTTTACGAGCTCAAGTGTTTCATGTTATCCAAAACAAAATTCGATGCACTTTGTTAAATACATATTTCATAAAGAAAAAAAAAAGCTTTCGCTAAAAGTTAAAAAGTCAGATCAACAAAGAAGCAGCACAGAAATCAGTTGAGATTGTTAATACATTTATATGAACGAAAAAAAATCAACTGCGATATCTTTTTCATCGCCCGCCATACGCGCGGGGGGGGGGGGGGGGGGGGGGGGGGCGGGCGATTTGCTTTAGACAGCGGTCTGGCTACAACAACAACTTTAATAATTATTGCATTAAATGTTTCCGTGTTTGTCGGAGTATTTGTTGCGTCTCTGTTTTCAATAAATTTCGTCGGTGAGTTTGAGACAGTGGTGCGACTCATGGAGATTTTCATTAAAAATGAACTTTGAAACTGCGAAAAATTGTTAGGGGTTTTATTTCTCGTTCGATTTGATGATGAAAGTACTTAAGCTTCTTCTCCACGCATACGCGTATATTTCGTTCATATTACCTATATGCTGAATTTCCAATGCCGTTTCGCCACTTTTTTATACAAATATACCGGGTATTCAATTTTAATTCAAACAAATTTATTGCAAAACATTCATTCTACATGTGCGAATACGGTTTGTGCCGGTGAGTTATACGGCTAGGGCTACATTATGTGGGTGGCTAATCTTTGCGATAAATCGAATAATTAACTAATTTTCCCTCATTAAGTTTCTAATTATAAAAATAATCATTAGAAACATTCTGAGCATACTCGAAAACCACTATATAAATGAATTTTAAAACGACTTGAAGCTCGTGGTTATTTTCCACTTTATAGACATTGACTAATATTGCGAAGTGTTCCGTAAAGGATAACGTAATCGTAGCTCGAAATGTCTCCTGCCTCGTCTGCGTACGGTCTTAATCATAGTTGGCGGGAACAGGGGAACGCTTGACATCAGACGCTATTCGAGCATTCGGCATGACAGGAGTGCAGTGTAGCGATCCGGACACTCTGCAGTTGTCCGCCGGGCTGGTAGAGCGCTCTGTTAGTACCCGAGAACACGCGCACCTATGTTCCCGCTAACGGTTATTGAGATAGTATACTTCGTCAACAGCTCGACTTTTATAAGCCCACGTTAACCAATGTAAATTCCCGGAACTGAAGGGGGGCTCTCGAAGCTTAATCCTTGTTTTGGTGCATACATACCCATAGCAATGAGCAGCAGTTAAGACAAACTGGCTGGTAATTAAAACGCCACCACAATAGAATTGATCTTCTGCTGTATACAGCCCCACCATCCACGGCCAGTGACCCGGAGTCGCCGGTGTACCATTAATAATCCGTTCAGAAACGGTATCCTGGACTCCACTTCGTCCACATATCTCCATTAAATCATCTTTTTCCCCTCTTGTGTACCTCGAGCATACCCCTGCTGTAAATGGAAATGAGGAAATAATCGTTTTTATATGAGGGCATATAGGCGGTTATATAATCATTAATAATATATACTTTTTTAAAAGTAAAGATATAGTGTGGAAAAGCTTGTTGTGCAGAGCTTGACCAGTTCATTAACACTGCACAGGTCGCAGGAATCGGTGACGCGACGGTCACGTGGTACGTGGTCCTCTGACGAAAATCGCGATACGGTCTGTAGCGTGAATCGGCTATAATCGCCGAGTCACGCAACGGACCGAATCGCGATTTTCGTCCGCGGACCGTGTACCATGTAACCGTCACGTCACTGATTCCTGCGATCCGCTTCTCGTCCGCGGACGCGCGGACCAGTAAAGTCGAGCCCATTTTCATTCGCAGAATTTTTGACGGGAGAGTGACTTGATAAGAGATTAGTCTGGCAAAGGTGCAATGCTTTTTTTAGCTATTTTTGTTTGTTTCCGGACGCCTAATGCAAAAATGGCCCATCGTTGTGTTTTGGGCGTTCGCTGGTTTATTTTGTCGCGCGACTCTTGGTTTAACTCTTTGTTCAGAAACTTTGCCCGGCTGCCCCTCCGCAGGATCCGGTACTCCTCCGGGACCGTATCAAGGAGCTTACTTCAAAACTCGTCTAGCACGCCGCGATAATTCTTGCACGTCCAATCATCCTTTCACCGAGCAAGACCTTTCATATGGCTGTGGTGTGCTGAAGTGTTCCGCACGGGAGCAAAGTCTGTGAAGGTGTCACTAAACGCCTTGTCCGGAGTCCAGCAGAACTTCGTCACGTCTACGCCGAAGACTTCTCGAGCAGGACCCTGCCTGTGTCACTGTCGTGCCTTGGGTTAGTGAGGCTAGTAGTTCTTCGCGCGAAGCATACCAAGGTGTTTTTTCTCGAGCTGTTCGTAACAGCGGTTTGCGATTCTTCATCACTGTAGAAAAGGTTGATTTCTATCTTGGACAAAGGTACCACGGAGCGATATTGGAGTTTCGCGGCACTGTGGAGTTGCAAGCATAAGGTTTGGTTCGTTCTCGCTAGCGTCTGGTCGCCGCCTCCCTCGTGTGGATGCGCCTGGGATGCGGGTGAACCGCGGACATATCGTCACGTGATCACTCCGTCCGAGGATCAGTGCGTCGTGTGAATCGGCTATAAGCAACGAAGTGACTGAGAAAGAGATGAATTATACAAAACAAAGTAACCATAAAAATACACAACCCGATGGCTCTAACATGAAGTCCGCACAGAAAGGCACAGAAAAAGAAAGACACGGAAAGCCAGGCGTGGAAACGACGCCGGGGCGCCGCGGCGTTGCTTGCCAAAAAAGTAAAATAAAATTAGAAAAAAACAGACTCAGTAGCGAGTGTCCTCCAAGTGCTTGCATTTATCGTGCGTAAGGGAAGTTAGCTATTAACTGAATATTTGCATTGTATTATTGCAAACGAGTATCATTTTTATTTCCGCTATAACGCTCTCTTTTTTCGGAAGTGTAAAAAGTGGCAGGCATCCTTTCAAACACCGTTTTTTTTTCCTTTCAGCTAATTGTATGTGTATATTCCTTTCGGTAAGGACTTCAATTTTTATACGCACGATTCTCCACGCAGCATTATGACACTGTGGTAGTGAATATATTAAGATAGGTTTTACGCTGAATTTCATTTCTATAGTTGGCGATGATGTTGGATCGATTAGCCAGATTTTATTTTCGGCAAAGCAGGTGTGACCATGCTATTCATGAAAACGGCAATGTCAGCAGCAAAGGTAGCGCGTATTGATTGATCGGAACAATAGAGTTGAGCCATAGATAAGTTTGAACAAAATATTATTTATAAGTATAAGGGCTCATTCACACTGGAAGCGGATCCGCGTTCGCAAAGCGGTTGCGAACGCGGTTGTATAAGGATTCGGTACAATTGCACGCGCACACGATGACATCAAATGCGCGTGCAATTGCACTGGATCTTTATTAGCGGCGAGATGTTTTGGTGGCGCCCTCCTATGGTTCCCCCTTGTGACGTCATTACCTTGCGAACAACAAGTTCGATTGTGTTTGTAAATAGCATGGTGGAAGCCTGAAATCATTGCACTCTCAAAGCAACACTGCCAACACCGTCGAAATTAAAGTTCTTTCATTCCTCTTATTTCCGTCGATGGTATACCCTTTCCGACGTCATAGTCAGCTTTTGGGCCAATCGTGGAAGGCCGACCACAGCGACGCTTTCGGTCGCGCACGTCGCCAATACAACCGCTTTCGCAACCGCTTCGCGAACGCGGATCCGCTTCCAGTGTGAATGGGGGGTAAAGGCCTTTTCCCACATGCAGCGGAGCGCTACAAGCATAGCGCTTACCTCGCGCTAAGCGCGTGCTGATGGGAGCGTTCACCAGCTTTGTATCGCACCGTCAAAACTGTTGCTCATGGCAGACGATAAGTAGCTGAGGGCACGTGAGGAGCGCTACATCAGCGCTTCGCTGCATGTGAGAACCGGCCTTTAAAGAACAAAAAAAACAGTGCGAAGATTAATTTCTGCTTCGCATGCCTTGCATAAATTCTGCCAATAGGATGTTTTCTCGATAAAAAAGACAAAACTGCGACTTAAAAGCTAATCAAAAGTATTTTTCGCAGAAAGATAGATATCCTTCACTCACGAAACCGCAAATAGTGTTAAAGAATCAAAGCAAAAACTAAAAACAATAAACCGTCGCGGTGTTTTTGTTGGTTACCTCTTGCGGAGATAGACAAAGCCAATGCTGTTCCGAGGAGTTCGTCTGCTAGCAGAGACTCCAGGCTCGTCGGGGGCGCCGCGATCAGTTTTCGCCCGCGCGAAGCGGGATTTTTCAATACTGTTCTCAAAGGTGTTTGGATACACTTTGGACTACACTGTTATGAAAGAGCAAGTTCGGAACAAACAACACTGCCACAATGTGTAGCACCACGTAAAGATCGGTGGTCGGCCGAATTCAGCTCGGCCACCGATCCCCCACGTGTTGCTGCGTATTGCGCGTGTGTAGCTCTTACACTAGCGGGTGTATACGCCGAGGTCAAAAGTTATAAAGGAACACGATATATATATTATTGAACACTAAGCGTCGTACCGCGTTCCACGCGGCGGCGTGTGTTTCCAGAACACCTCCGATTGGACACATTTCGTTTCTTGTGCATTAATAAGACAGGTAGGAAACGCCAGAAAGCCAAGGTGGAGTGGTGTAGGAGTTCGAAGAAGACGACGAGCTGAATGGCCGCGTTGGAAATGGGCTCCGTAAAGGAAATCTCAACGGCTAAGCCTAGCCGGGAATATTCTGAAACTATTTCTGCTTCTGCCCCCTCTGCACCAAGTACAACGGAATACAAGATTTTACTGCCACCCCTTCCCAACGGTAAGCTGCTCGAAAATTCACTGATTCTTCATGGGGACCCATCAGCCCGGCCATACCGCATCGACGATTTCGGTCCTGCTTTGAAGAAAATCATCAACCCAAATGAGCTAGCTTCGCTTGGGGCCTACCAGTACAATCATGTGTGGCTGCTCACAGTGCGTTCTGCCAAGGAAAAAGAAAGACTGCTGCAGCTCCGAGAGATCCATGTAAAGAACAAAACATGTTTGATAATAGACGGGAGCAAGACTGCGCTGTCCATGAAGGTGCACTGGGTTCCAACTACCGTCCCAGATGCAAACGTGGCCAGCGCGTTCTCTACGTTTGGAAAAATAAAAAGCATCGTTCGAGACAAGTGGCACTACTCCGGCTTCGGGGATGTGGAGACGACCACAAGAATACTATCAATTGAATTGAACGAAGGTGTGACTGCGGACAGCTTGCCGCATCAGCTCAGGATTTTAGGAACAACCGTCCTTGTCTCCGTGCCTGGCAGAGCACCGCAATGTCTGCGATGCAGGCAAGTCGGACACGTCCGAGGCCAGTGCCGTGCTCCCTGGTGTAGCGCATGTCGAAAATTCGGCCATGATATCGAAGACTGTGTCCCAACGTACGCCAACCGAACGACTGCATCTCTCCAGATTCCTGCAGACTACTTGATGGACGCAGAAGAAACAGCACAAACAGAGGTTTCGGCAGAAGTCAGCACCGCTCACAGGACAGCCTACGTCGAGGCAGCCTCACGGACTGAGAAGTGCGTAGACAGGTCGGCGTCGTCATGCTCTGCAACGAAGGAGACAGTGAGCAATATTGTCATCACCAACTCTTTCAGTGCTCTCGTTCCTGAAGACCAAGCTGAAGAGTCAATGCAACCAGAGGAAGAGGCATCCGAAATGGACGAAACCAGCGACAAAGAAATGCTCGGGAAAAGAAAGGGAGACGAAATTCTGTGCACCACAGATCCTGCCTCAACATCTCAATGGGAGCGGGCAGAGTCAAAGAGGAGAAGGAAGAGGAGAACAAAATCTCTATCTCCCAAATCTCCCATCACCGATCAGGATTCCATCCTGTCCGGCCACGAGGACCCGAAGAGTCAGTAAGAGACGCTTCACTTTGCTCCATCACCTAATACGTTCAATGAACGACGATTCTTATGGTGCTTTTACAATCGGGACTTTTAACGTAGCCAGCCTTATAAGTCAACGCCGTAAGGTATGGCTGAAAGAGATTCTTTATCAACACAAAATTGATATAATATGTCTACAGGAAACCAAAATCTCAACTAGGGAGCAAGAAATTGATCTTGTCACCTACTTCCAGGATACATATTATTGTTATCACGCTCCATCCTCTGGCCTAAGTGCTGGGACCGCTATCTTTCTGCGAAAAGCCTCACGCCACTGCAGTTTCGTTGACTGTGAGCTAGCAGCAGATGGTCGCACAGCTGCCATAGACGTTTTGGTTGGCGAAGAATTAGTCAGAATAGTTTCCATCTACGCACCAAACAACTCTTCGGATCGTTTAACGTTTTTCAAAAGCTTACGTTTAACTTTAGACACCCCAAGTAAAGTTATCTTAGCGGGTGACTTTAATTGCGTACTGTCGCGGAACGATTGCACAACTTCTGGATGGAA